AAAAAAAAAAAAAAAAAAAAAAAAAAAAAAATCCAAATCTAAAATTGTGTGAATTTGCTGTTACAAACATATTGCTGCTCTGGATGTTCAAAGCCATCTGACTTTCCGGTAGTGCAAATTGGGGAAGGGTGATGCCATTATTGAATGTTCTTATAACTATTACCAAACTTGTAAGATGTGAGGAGATGATAGTTTTATATTTTGTAGACAAAAAAAAAAAAAAATGAAGACTCAATGTTAGGGCTTAAAGCCAAGTTTTTATAACACCGAAGGCTGTCAACTTTTTAACACCCTCCTTTTCTTCCCACAAGACTCCTTCACAACCAAATACCACCGAACAAGCAAGGTCCCAGGGCTGAAGTTTTCCTGCCAGGGTCCTTAAAGCATAAGCTCCAAATTCATTTCCTTCCAAGATGTTTTGGAGGGAGTTCATGCATTAATTGGTTGGAGCTGGGCTCTGAGGTCTGTGCCAGCAGTGCAATTGCATGTTTCCAGGATGTCTCAAGACTTGTTCAAGAAACTTCTGTATCATCTATCCAGGATATTAGGGGGCAAGCTCAAAGTCACATTTCCTTGAGGTGAAAGATCTCAACTTGAACTCAGATTTGTCGATCTCAGTGTTGAGTCTCTGTATGAGCCCATGCTACCTGCCTTTTGGGGAAGACAAGATGCCCCCGCACCTGCAGGCTGGAGGTTCTGCCATGCCAGGGTTGGGATTTTTGCCTAGTCCAAGGACCACAGGAGCTGGGACCACAACTACCAACACTGGTCCTCTCAGAAATTATATCGCTTTTAAATTTTTGTTGCCTCATCTGTCATAAAACATTTCCTTTGTCACACATAGTTTAATAGGAGCCATCTTCCACATGACAGCCAAAGAGAACTTTGTAATTTAATGGAGTTTGTCTGTGATCTCTGGTTTTAGCGAGTAGACATTAAGGGAAAATGAAGACTATTACAGCTTTTGAGAAACAATGTTTTTGGTAAGTTTCCCCTGCCAGTTGATTTGTGTGTGATATTCTCAAAGTAGTAGTAGAGATGAATATAAATAGCTTTACCCAGAATTGCCTTTTAGGGGTCATGAGTTGGTACATAGACTCTCTAGTGTTTGGTATCAGAGGTGCAAGCAGAGATGATCTGCTGAGTATCAAGATTTTTTTAAAATGAGGAATGACTTTTGTTTTAAAGTAAAATCTCCAATTAATTGGTGTTTATATACGAGGAGAAACACGTTTGCATAGAGATGACTAATATGTACTAATATATCCCTAATTTTTAAAGTAACCTGAAATATAGTAAGTCATCATCTAATTAATTGCCTAAATTAGAACCGTGCTTAAGAGTTAAGTCTCCCAAATTCTGGCTCATACTTGGCTACCCGAGATGATGATTTCCTTGTCCTTTGCCAAACTAGAAAGGGTCACTGAATTGTCATATGAACAGACAATTAAGTGTCCAAAGTCAGCACTGGCAGGCTTCCTTGGCAGACAGGCTTCCATCTGTCATAAAGAGTGAAGGAAGAGCCTAGGAACCTGAGTACTCTCAGATGCACACGCCCTGTGCTGGCCGACTCTGGAAGCTTTCAACAGCAGCAAGAGGTTCCCCTCTGGTGTTTCTAATGGGCTGCTTTCCATTTCTTAGGGGCTCTCTCTACATCTTCATCAATATGTTTTTCAACTTAGTTCAGTGTGACAGGCATTTCTGCCTGGTGATTCCAGGTAAGAAAAAGGACAGATCTGTTCTCTTGCTCCTGAAGACCATTCCATCTCTCAGAACTCTGCCTGGCATCTTTACACTGACCTTCTCTTCCCCCTGAAAATTCTACCAACCTTGCTTGCTTCTCTTGCATTCTCTGGTTTCAATACTGTGTGAATAATAAAGATCCAGAGATGCTGGTTTATAGACAATAAGTCGTAGAGCTTCTGCTATGAAGTGATTTTTATTTTTTTATATTTTATTTCTACATATACCTAATGCTTATGTCGCAAAGAAGAAGGATATTTTGATGGGCCCATAAAATTCAGATGATCCTAAAGCTCACAGTTTATTACTGATGTTTCCTGCATTCATATTAATTTTCTTTCTACAAATAGTTGAATCAATTAGTTGACTTATATCTTGCATTCTGTGAAAAATGCTGTGCATGAATCTTAGGCTAATAAAGAAATCAGAGATAGTACTTGTTATTCAGACTCTAAGAGCGTTCTTTGTTTGAAGACTGGATTTGCAAGAAACGGACTCATTACTTTTTCTCAACTTAAAGTTGTGTTAGTTCATAAGTAATTAAATATTAGAGAAGGCAAGGGGAGTGCCTGTTTCGGAATGGAAAATGGAGTTTCGTACTTCGTGCATTTGTCCTATCCTTGGATATATATACTTGGATATATAAGTCAAGGTGAATGGAAAACATTTGGAGTGCAATGGTTTTATAAAGTCTCCTATCACTTTCAAAGGACCTTTATTTAGTGTTAATTTCAAGAATAAAGGGGAAAGAAATGAATGGTAGGGCACACAAGTTGAAGGATTATTTCTACTTTTCCATTTACATAAATTCTCCTATGTAATGAAGCTGCATGGCCCCTGGATATTAAACTCTAACTTGGATGAAATAGAAGTATCAGCTGGTACACAGAGAGCTGTGCAAGGTATTTTTATGAAGAGTAGTCAGAGCTTCCCTCCTGAACTTTCTCCATTACATCACCCTATCAAGAAGGGAAATGGTAAAATAACCAAGTTTTTAGTTTCTTTCTCATGTCAAAGGCCAAAATGAAGCATAGGTATTTTCTGGGTGCTATTAACTATAAAAGGCCTTGATGTGAGATACTCGGGACTTGATTTTCTTTATTTTCAAAGTTCACTTTTGCATAACTTTCCTTTCCTTCCTATCATATTGAAACCCCTTACTCTCACAAATCTTTTCATGAATAAATCTTGCCTTCCTCAACAAATTATGTGTGCTTTGAGGACAGAGATGCTTCTTATATCTCTCTACCTTCATCCCTCAATCTTGCACAGGGGACCATGTCCACAATAGATAGTAGACCCACCTTTGTTGAATTAATGGAAAAGGTAAAAGCCAACTCACATGGCTTAAGGGAGAGAGCTACAAATTGTAAAGAACAAAACATATACAATCATTCATAAGTGAGCTAACTAAACCACTGACTTCTATCTAGATGCGTGTGT